CTTCACCAATTATCTACACTAATAAAAGAGAAGCATGCAAATTGGTGTCACTCAGCTATGCTCACCAGCCAATCAGAGTGACTATGCAAATTAACCCAACAAAGATGCCAGTTAATTTGCATACACAGGCACAGAGTGAAGACTGAAGACTGAAGAGGCTTGGCTTCTCCGCTGTGGCTGGACCAAAGGCCTGTACATGAAAGATGCTCACAATTGTTAACCCTAGAGACATGCAAATTAAAACCAGAATAAGATACCATTACACACTCACTAGAATGACTAAAGTTAAAAGACTGATATAGCAGGTGTCTGGGGACATGGAGCCACCGGAGATCCCAGATATTGCCTGAGGGGATGAAAAATGGTGCAGCCACTAAGAAAACAATATGGTAGTAACTTGTAAAACTAAACATATCCTTAGCATACAATCCAACAATCCACTCCTAGTTATTTAGTCAAGAGAAATGAACACTTATGTTCACACACAGACGTGTATGTAAATGGTCTTAGTGTTATTCATAAATAACAAAAAAAAGACAACCTGAAAGTAACTCAAATGTCCATCAACTAGTGAATGAATAAACAAATTGTACAACAGAATACTACTCAGCCATAAAAAGGAACGACATATTAATATATGTAGCAATGTTGGTGAATCTCAAAAACATTATAAAAGAATTAAACACAAAAAGTTATGTACTGTATGATTCCGCTAATGTGAAACTCTAGATGAATCAAAATTATGATGAACAGAAACCAGATCAGTGGTTGCCTGGGGCTGGATTTGGGGAGGAGATGGAGATGAGCGGGTGAGATGTATAAGTGCAGGAATGTTCTACATCTTGATTGTGGTGGTGGTAACAAATGTGTAGAAGCCTGCACACTTAAAATGGGTGAATTTTATTGTATGTCAATAATAATCAAATTTAAATTTTAAGTATAAAAAACACTCCATAAACCTATGGGCAAACTTAAAAAGAATGTCTTGAAGGTAGACAGACACACAATAGAATGAAGATAAGAATGATAGAAGACTTCTCTACTCTGTAATCTAGAAATCAGTAGAGTAAAATCTTTAAAGTACTGAAAGAAAAAAAAAAAAACACGACCCAGAATTCTAAGGTCAGTGGAACTACCTTTCAAACGTGAAGGTGCAATAAAGACTTTCAGACAAACAAAAGGTGAGAGAATTCATTGCCAGGTGACCTGTGGAAATAATGAAGGTGTTCAGACAGGAGGAGCATGACACCAGATGGAAATGTTGGTCTTTACAAGGAACAAAGAAGATTAAAAATGGTAAAAAAGGAATGTAAACAAAGGTATCCATTAGAAGAACTACAACCAGACCGCCAAGCTTCCAGGTAGCTAAAAGGGTCTCTGCACCGAGCTTGTGCATGGTGGATGCAGACAGGTGGCAGAACCACAGACACTTGGCACAACGCCGGGCGTGACTTCGCACTGGTTACTGGGAGCCAACGCACAGTTCAATCCTCACCGCCCTGGGAGTGAGGGAGGCTGGCACCTACTGTCCCTGCTTTATAGGAACAGAAACGGAGTCTCAGAGAAAACGAGTGACTGTCCTGGCGCAGGAAGCCATGTAACAGACTGGACTGGGCATTTTCTATCCCGTGCGAGCTTAGTCCAGTCTCCTGGGAGTCTGTGAAACAGCCACACAGATCTCGGAGGCTGTGTCGCCGTTAAACATTCCTCGGCGGAACGGAGTCTCAGAGAAAACGAGTGACTGTCCTGGCGCTGGAAGCCATGTAACAGACTGGACTGGGCATTTTCTATCCCGTGCGAGCTTAGGAGAGTCTGTGAAACAGCCACACAGATCTTGGAGGCTGTGTCGCCGTTAAACATTCCTCGGCGGTCACCTCTAACCCGGGGCGAGCACCCACTTCCCGGGACCGTGGGGAGGGTCCAGGGAGAGGGCGCCGTCACTGCAGACAGGGGCCAGGCGG